GCGCGCGTCTTGCGGCAGAAAAGATAATGGGAAATGAGGAGAGTAAAAGACGCCGGCGTCTTGCCGCTTTTTTTGAGTGGTTACATAAACTGCGTCTTCCGCCGGCGTCTTGACGCTTTTTTTGAGTGGTTACATAACCCGCGTCTTCCGCCGGCGTCTTGACGCCGAGCGTCTTGCCGCTTTTATGAGTGGTTACATAAAATGCGTCTTCCGCCGGCGTCTTGACGCCGGCGTCTCTTTTTTTAATTCAAACATGTTTGAATTTTTTGCGGCAACTTTTAGCGTCTTGATCATTTCTCGACTAATTCTAGTGCGATTTTTAAAATTTAAAAAGATTCTGAAAATTCAATTCATTCTCTATCGATCAATATAAATTTTATATTTTTAAAGTTAAATCTTATGGGTTAAATTTGATTTTGAAAAAGGTATACTTTTTGCAAAAAATATTCTTTTTTTCGATATTTTTGAGATTTTCGAGATAAAAAAGTATTTATATCATAACTTTTTTATCAATCGGTCAAAAATTCTGATAATTTGATATGTTGTAGAGCAGTGCTGGGTATGGCTCCGGGAGCTAGCTCCGGAGCCCGGCTCCGGAGCCGGCTCCGGCGGAGCCGGAGCCGGAGCTAAGATTTTGAAAACCCCGGAGCCGGAGCTGGAGCCGGAGCCAAGAATTTCAAACCCCGGAGCCCGGAGCCGGAGCCGGAGCCAAGGTTTTCCAATTCCCCACGGCTCCGGCTATACACCCCTAAAGATGGGTTAGAGAAAAAGAAGTAAGCAAAGATGGCAGGCGAGAAAAGAAAAGGAAGAGAAAATTGAGGCGGGTAAAAATGATTTTCTTTTCTTTCCTTTGTAAAGTAGTTGTGGTTGAATGGATAGTGAGTTAGGTTCCGAGTTTTATCCGGTTATAGGTTCGAAAAATATTACAAAAAATGATTAAATAATTGTTATTCTTTGGAAAATAAATTATAATAAGCATTTTTTAAATAAATAAAGCTGGATAAGTTTTTTAAATTGATTAAGTGTAGTCTCCTGTGAGTCAAATTTTTCAAAATTTTCGCCTGCGGCGCAAAAAAGGAAGATTTTTGGCTTAAGGATCTTCCAAAATTCTCAAAATTTTCGCCTGCGGCGCAAAAAAGGAAAATTTTTGGCTTAAGGATCTTCCAAAATTCTTAAAATTTTCGCCTGCGGCGCAAAAAGCAAGAGATAATGAGAGGATAAATCTAACATCTCCTATTCACCCAACTCCCTGACAACCCAAATCCGCTTAATCCAGCTTAATTCCCCGATATCGCCCTTAATGCACACGATAATCCACCCAAATCCCACTTAATCCATTGATACTCCTCTTAATCCTCTGATATCACTCGATATCCCCCTTTATCTACCCAAATCCCCCAATGAAAAATAATAAATTGATTTTCCAGCCGGAGCCCGGAGCCAACATGGAGCGGCTCCGAAAATCGCCGGCTCCGGAGCCGGAGCTGGAGCCGGAGCCAAGATTTTAAAAGGTCGGAGCCCGGAGCCGGAGCCGGAGCCAAGATTTTGAAACCCCGGAGCCCGGAGCCGGAGCCGGAGCCAAGATTTTCAAACCCCGGAGCCCGGAGCCGGAGCCGGAGCCAACAAATGGCAAATACCCAGCACTGTTGTAGAGCTTTTGATTCTCTATCAAATGATACCAAAAACATGAAAAAGTGACCATTTCTTGATGAGTAGGGCTCCTACCATATATATAGTTAGGGACAAAAAATTTTGGGGAAAATCGAGGCATTTAAAGGATTAAGAGGGTTTGGAATTTTTTTTTATTTTTCAGCCTAGACACCGAGCTATGGGTTAACCCTTATTGAAAGAAAATTAACCCAGAACTCTATGCTTACCCGCAGCTGCGGGTAAGCAATATTTTTAGGGAGATCCTTCATTAATACCCCTATTTTTAACTACACCCCTATTTTTAACGCGTCATACTAACCCATAACCCTCTTCTATAAATACCCAAAATTTGACAATTTGAAATAAAAGCTTTTTTAAAAGATCCTTTTAAATCAATCCATATTTTAATCCCTTCAAATCCCCTTTAATCACTCCAAAACCTCGATATCCCATTAATTCTCCGATAACCACTTAATCCCTCCAATTTTTATACCTTTAGATAGAGAAGAGTTTATTGTACCAACTTTATACCTCTTTCCAATTTCAGCGCCGCAGGCGAAAATTTGAGAATTTTGGAAGACCACTGGGCAAGATTTCTTCCTTTTTTCCTAATTCTAGGATCCTAAAATAGTCCCAAATTTTTGACATTTTTTCTAAAATATATTGAAAATATCTCGTGTCTTGTGGCAAAATACGAGATACGAGACCTCTAAAAAACACGAGATTTCACGAGATACGAGAGGAGCGCCACCCCTGATCAATACCATGGCAGAATAAAATGATTTGATTAATAAATTTTATTTTAGTATGATAAATATTTAAAAAAATTTTTAATCGGATTTAGTGGTTACATAAAATCGCGCGCGTTTTGCGGAAGACGCTCGGCGTCAAGACGCCGGCGGAAGACGCTGTTTTGTGGTTACATAAAACTAGCGTTTTGACGCTTTGCGTCTTCCCGCTTAGCGGAAGACGCCGATTTTATGTAACCACGAAACAGCGTCTTCCGCCGGCGTCTTGACGCCGAGCGTCTTCCGCCGGCGTCTAGCGTTTTTTATGTAACCGTAGCATAAGAAATACAAGTGGTTGGTCTCCAACCCGTTGGGAGCTGTTTCAGGAAATGGGAGTGTCGGAGAAAGGATTGTCGGACTTCAAGATTGGGGAAACGCTTAAAAACCATCGTCGGGTAGAGAATCAAAACTGTTGGAGACACCAAAAAATTAAAAAAATATATACCAGCAGTGAAGATAAACAGTCAAAATAGATTCTTTAATATTTCCTCCATTCAAAAATAAAGTTAGACGGAATAAAAGCATTCCATTAATTACAAAAAGTGCCTTAAAAATGAAAAACTCAAAAAAAATTTTTCAAAAAAAATTTACATTATTTAACAAAGTTCCAGCAATAAGCATTGAAGAAAAAAGAGAAACCCAATTTCCAATAAATAAATTTAAAAAACCTCCAAGAATTTTAAGAGTCATTGGAAAAAGAGGAAAAAACGCTAAACTGCTTTCCCAAATATATCCAAATTCGGCGATGTGTAAAAAATGTCTAGCATCCCAAGTTGTTAAACCACCCAAAATTGAATAAATAAATAAATCAAAGGATGAACCTTTAAAAAATAATTTTTAGAAAAATAAATTTAAATAAGAATAGAAAATCATTAAAAACAAAAATTTTTAGTTGAAAAAAGTCGGGGATTTTCTATCGAATGGTTACAAAAATATATATCGAATTCGAATTGACACTAGACGATGGTTCCTTGTTAATATTATCTTTTTGATATGTTACAATTAAAATTAGAGGGATCCACAGAATATATAAAAATAACAATAAATAGCGTAAGACCAGATTTTTGTGGGCCTTGAACCCAAAGAATGATAAAGAATCCGAAAATAGGCAATAAACCCAATAATAAAAGAAAGTGGAGAAATATAAATAGAGTTGTTGGTTTAGAATCAAACCAGGAACAATGGATCTTTCGGTTGGGTTTCGGATAGAGACAGAACGGGGAGTGTCGTACGAGAATCGAATCTCATCTCGATCTCGGTAACCGAATTTTCGCTCGAGATCTAGTCCCGGCCCTGTCTCTAGTTTCGGATATCAGAAGATTTTTCAAGAACTGACAACCCTACATTAAAATAAAAAAAATGCTGAGGGCTTGGGATTTAAATTAAAAATTTTGAAAAAAACACCAGATCCTACCCTTCAGGTTTCAAATAAATTAATTTAAAATAACCTTCATTATTTTCAGGTCGATTAATTCCTTTGAAAGCATCTGTTGGACTATCCCTCATCACAAAATTAATTGTACATTGAAATAAAAGAATAATTAATCTACTAAATATTAATTGTTGAAGAAGAAAATAATTAATTTTTTGTAGTGGGAAAGGAAAAGAAAATTCATTAATTCCTTCAATATGCTTTAAAAATGTTTAAGAATTTTTAAAAAAATTTAAAAAAAAACCAAGAAAGAAAACAAATATCCATTTAATTCCGCTTCAAAATATTTTGTTTCTTCATTTAAAGAGTATTGACTGTCTATTAATTGTTGACGATGGAAGCTGGTGGAAATACTATTTTGTTTGATGTTAATATTGTGATGAGTTCGTTGTCGGTTACGAGTCATTGAACCTGGAAAAATTTAAAATTAATATTTTATTGTTAAAATCTAGACTTTTGCTGTTTATTGCTTAGAGATCGAGCTGGGTCTGGACCAAGGCTTGAGTTTTTCCTGTACCTAGAGTCCAGGCCCAGGCATTTTTTGACCTCGCTGGGTTTTTCCTGGACTACAGGCCCAGGATCCAGCCCAGGTCAATAAATCAAACCTGGAACCCAGGAAAAGGCCCAAGCTTTTCAAAAATCTCGATCTCTATTATCGAACCCTGTTCGCGAGTTTTCGATTTGTAAGAAAGAATAATCCGCGAGCAAAGCCCCCTATAAGGATAAGTCCCTTCCCAGATTCTTGTTAATATTATTGTTAAAAATTAGTGATAGGAAAAACATTTGTGATATTTATCAGTGCAGTTTCCCCCACATAAGCCACGCCCCCTTTTACTTTTCATATTAGTGCAGTTTCCCCACATAAGCCACGCCCCTTTTTTCATTTTTCCAATATATTTTTAAGAAAACCCCAAATGAAAAAGTCAATAATTTTCCTCGTTACAAATAAGCGCCAGGCAAAGGATTTTCGGTACTAGTGCGGTTTGCCCCCACAAACCATCTTTCGCCACTCCTTTTCCCCATAAGCCACGCCCACTTTTTCAACTCCGTTTTCTTATAAATTACTCGAGTGCCGAGAATGCTTCCCCATTTTAATCTCTTAAATAAATTCAAGTCCCTTCTAATTTTAGATGGAACAACTCAAAAATTTCACAATGGACAAAGTCTACCAAAAAATATTTTTGCCTGACAATGAATTTGATCAATGGCTTGTACAACTTGGACTTTTACATACAACAATGATTTGTGAATGTGGAAATTTGATGATTGTAAGAAAGCCTAAAAATGGGGAGCGTTATGGAAGATGGCGTTGTAACATTTCAAAATGTCGAAAAGAAAAAAGTTTTTTGGCTGGAACGTTCTTTAGTGGATCCCATGTTACGACCAAAAAAGTTTTTGCGATGGCGTATTGGTGGGCAATGAAGTTTGGAGGGGAAGAGGATTGGGTGAGGGAGTTTGGAGTTGCTAGTCATACAGTGGTGGATTGGCGTAATTCTTTCAGGGATGTTTGCGCCCAATATTTGGAGAAGACGAACGATATTAAGAAGGAGATTGAGGAAACTGGTAATTTTTGGGTATTTAAACTTGGGGTGGTTTGGGGATCGGTGTTTGTCGGGGAGTGCATGTCGGGGTTAAGGGCCAGAGATTTGAGTTGTTGGGGTAGAGCTGTGTCAGGAGTTTTTGCCCGAAAAAGAGTCAGAGGACGATCAACTAGGGGTTGGCTAGGTGATCAGCTTGGGGATCGGAGTTTGTCGGGGGAAGGCTGTTGGGGTTAAGGGACAGAGATTTGAGTTGCCAGGGTAGAGCCTTCGGGTCGGAGATTTTTGCCAGAAAGATCGTTGGGGGACTATATGCTACTCAACTTTAAATTTTAATTTATAGGGGATGGAGAACTTGAAGAGCCTGTGCCCGTGAAGAGGAAATACAACAAAGGAGAACCAAATAAAGAAGTTTGGCTTTATGGTGGAGAATGTTTGTGGAGAAAGAAGTTCGGATCTAGAAATGAGATATTTTATAATTTTTGGTTACACGTTTCACATATCTTTCCATGTTATAGGGTGACTGAATAAATCGATAGTATATTGATTTTTGGTTGAGAAAGGGACAGAAAACTGACCCAAATGTTACTTTTAAAAAAATGAAGAGGGGAGCGTGATTTACTGGGTGGACAGCTGGATCCGGTTAGAATCAGGGAACAGTTTGGATCAACCTAAATTTACCCTATTCCGCCCGGGATCAAGAAGCTGGCAGATTTATACAAAAAATGACCCTGAATTTGACCATACAACGTTCGCCAACTAAAAATTAAATAGTATTTTGCTGTTGACCTTATTTATACGTGCCTTTTTGTCCTTTTACCGTTTTGTCGAGTACCATTTTGTCAGAAACAAGATTTCTTCCTTCTCCATTACTACCCTTTCACTCCATTATTTTCTTCTCGCCATTCATTTTACATTTCTTAGCTTCAATAAATTTTTTTCAATTTTTATTCATTGGGTTTAATAAATGTACATATGTGTTGTTGTTCCATTTATCTGCAATAATAAATAAATTTTGCTAAATTTCCAAAATTGTCGAACACCTTGAATTTAACTGAATTAATTGCTTAATTAAATAATTAGACGAAACGTAAAATTTTCACCACCTTGACGAAGTGAAAGTTGGTGTAAAGACAAACCTCTTGTTAAAACAAATAAAAACCTTTCACAATCACTCTCTTCACACACTATCTAAAGACTAAATCGATTCGGTTACGGTATTTAATCGATTTAAGGATTGTTTGCGTTGTCCTTTTTTACTTTACCTTTTTTGATATTAATATTATTTTTTTGATTTCACGTCGGTGTTTAAAAATTGATTTCAGCTTTAAAACTAGTTAATACACGTATTTCGACTTGTTAATTTAATGTTTTTCTTGATAATTTAAAATTTGGGGAGTCGTCCTCTATTAAAATACATGATCGTTTACCTATTTTTAAGCTGATTTTCTCAACTACAAGTTCAGGTATTGCCTCTTAAATATTTTTTCGACTCTTGGCAGCCATAAGATTTTTCAGTAAACTAAAAAATTTGTGAGTCCTCAATTCAATTTTTAACCCAAATTCGAATAAAACCTTGTTTGTTGAGTATAGCCAACTTCGAGTATAATCTCCGTTTTTATTTATTCACCACACACGGGAGCAGGCCAACCTACCGCCGAGGCTATAACTTCTTTCAGAATTGTCGAATCTGGGGCGCCCTGGTATGGTTCGATGCGCCTCGTCGAACTGAATCCAACCTACCAAGTTGTTCCAGATTTGACAATTTTGAACGAAGTTATAGCCTCGGCGGTAGGTTGGGGTGTACCACACATTTTCTTTTCTAATTTTGTTTTCAGATTTATTTTTAAAATAGAATTTAGTGTTTATATAGCATACATATATGTCAACAATAATCATTCGCCTTCAAAATTTGCCGCTTAGCGCCAAAGCTGCGGATATTCGGGAATTTTTCGGTGATTTAAAAATCCCAAAAGGATCAGTCAATATTGTTGGAGGGCATTTGGGGGATGCTTTTATTGGCTTCGCTTCAGACGAGGATGCGAGACTTGCAATGTTATTAGACGGCAGATTGTTGCATAATTCAAAAATTCGTTTAATGCTTTCTTCAAAACGAGAAATGGAACAGGTTATTTCGAATGCCCAAGCATTTGCTGGTAAAGGACCGTCTATGAATCAAACAGAAAATAATCAAAATACTTTTTCTCCTCCTGATCCGTCTCAAAAGGAGTCGACAGTGAAATTGGAAGGTTGTTAAAATTAAATTTTATTTTTTTAACTAAATTTTATTTTTTGAAATTTTGATTTAAAAATGGGTCGGAAATGATTAGAATTAAATTTTTGTTCATATAATTGGGAAAAGATTTTTGTTTTATATAAGTTCAGCATTTAAATCTCTCATTGACTTTTAACGCCGATGCCTCCAAAATTGACTGCTTGTTTAAAAAATCAACATTTTAGATTTTAAATTTTAAGAATTCCAGAAATTTCCAACATTTTCGTTTTAACTTTTAATTGAACTATTCCAACTATTCCAAAAAAATCAATAAATTAAAATTCAAGCCTTAGCCGCTTTAAATTTTACCAATTCTTTTGAGCTATTGTAAACGGGTTAGATATAGAATTTAAAAATTTTATGAAAACATTTTCAACAAAAAATATTCCATCCCAGAAACCTCCTTCCCAATTTTTTACACATAAATTTCTTCAATATCAACTATATATTTTTGATTTTTTATTGCAATTGCTTAAAATAACTTAATGTGTAGCAGAACTCGAGCAACCCCTTTTTTAAATTACTTGAGTAGATCCTTTATTATGAACTTTCCCATTAATATTAATTTTTATTTCCTTTAAATATCCTTTTGAATTTTATTGCATATTTTTATCTTCACTTTTATCGTTATTTTTATCAATCTAATTTATTTTACTTAAAAAATTTAATTGCTCTTCGCTGCGCTTCTAAATTTTATTTAATTAATTTGACCAAGTTTTATGCTTAAATTTTTAGAAACCTTAAAATAAAAATTAAAAAAGTAAGGATATTTGCTAAAACGACGTTCTAATCAAAAGCATTTTAATTTATTCAAAAGCTAAAATTAGTAGCTCAAAAGGAAATCGGCAAAGTTACAAGTTGGGAGAACAGTTAAAACCTCGATATAGCGACTCTATGATTTAACGACTTTTTCTTCATTCCCTTTGTGTTCGTTATATCGAGATTCGACTATATATTGGGGAAGATAATGTTTTTAGACAAATGTTTATATCAGTTTTGTTTTGATCAGAAAGAATTTTTCTACTTTTAAAATTTGTTTTAAAGCATGGGATTTATTAAAAGTGGAAAAAAATTTTTTTTTAACTTCGCCATTTGAATATTTGAAAATTGTGAGATTTGATGTTTTTTTGGGAAAGATATATTTTTGTAAAAATTCCCCCTAGCAAATGAAAACGTTCAGGGAGAACAATTTGCATTGCAGAGCTTAGGATCAAATCTGATTCTATCTTTTACTATTTTCTGGGATGGGTTCGTTTGATTTATTATGTTTGTGTTGTCCTTGTGTATTTATTTTTTAAATAATTTTTTTGATAATGATTATTTAATAATGATTACCCGTATTTTTATCGCAACGTATCTGCAACTTATGCAATTTTGCTTAATACGAATGGAATTTTTTCGAATTTGAGAATTTAAACACAAAATTCTGATTTTAAAACCCTATTTTTATCCAATTTATAGTGTTTATTCCGATTCAAGTTTATTTCAATATTCTGTTTTTAAGATTATTTATTGAATAATACAACTACGGTTGCCGGTTCGGTTCGAAAGATCGAATCGGGCTTTGATTTTTGGCCCGAAAAAGTCGAACGGCCAGGTTCGATAAAAATGAGGACGAAAAAACGACTCGAACTTCGGTCCGATTCGAAAACGGCAATCCTACTTGCAGCCTTAATAATTTATCGAATTATGGTCAAAATTTGCAATCGTAAATTACAATTATATTTTCTCACATTTTTATTTTCAATTTCTCGTCGTCTCGCTCATCAAACAACTCGGTATTCTTATGTAGATGAATTTCATGATTTCCGTCGTTCATATGTGACATTAGTAAAAAACTTTAGTCTGGATTGATCTTCGTTTCTCCATTGTCTTGATTTTTTAACTAAAAAAATTTTTTAACGGTACAATCACTATTGACCTTTTTTGGTTTTATAACTGTTGATATTCTATAAATAAATGCCATTTTGCCACATAATGCTAAAAATTTTAAAATTAAATTTGGTTTTTAAAACTGCAATAAGTTAGAAGTTTTACAAATTCTGATTTAACTGCATTTATCTCACCATCTCTCATTCATCTAACAATTTGTCTCTGCTAAATATTAAGTTTAAATTTAAATCCTAAATTTAGAAAACCTTTTTGTCCTTTTCTAATTTTATTTATTTGTTTAGGTGTCTGTAAGTAGTAAATAACATTTTTTTGTTTTTATTCCTTTTATAGTAAAACTAAAAAAATAATATATACATTATCATTTTTGCATCTAAATATCAACTAAAAAAATTTTTTTGATTAGTTAAAAATAAATTTAAAATTCTATAAATACGTAAAAATTTGTTTAACTAAAAATTAAAAACAAAAATTTGGCGAATTTTTAATATTTAAAAATTTATTTAAATTAAAATAATTTTCATTTTTTTAATTTTTATTCTAAAAAAATCATAATATGTACATCTTTAATATTTTTAAAAATTTAAAAAATCTCTTTTCACCCCATCTCATAACAATTATAATTCTGATTGTATTTTTAGATTTTTAATTCTGGTTTTTAAAAGACAAAAAGTTGAATTTTTAAAAATTCTGATTTTTTAATATTCTGATTTTTAATTATTTGATATGTAATTCTGAATTAAAGTTTAATAAATATTCTGATTTTAAGTTAAAATTTGAAGGATTTTTTATTTATAATTGTTAAATTGAAAAGGGCGCAACTAAGTTTAAAATAAATTCTCATTGAGTTTGTGTTGATAAACTTGAAAAATATGTAGTTTTTATGCTTCAACTTAATTCTGAAATTTCTCTTTAAAAATAGATAATTTGCTCTTTATATTGTTAAAAAATTGCCAACTTTTCGGAAAATTTGTTAACCAATTTTTACGCATACCATATTTTTTCGCTGCTTTCTCTTGGAAGAACTATTTTTTAATATTTTTAAAATTTTTATTCCATTTCTAAGCTAATTTTTAAGGTCTTAAGCTAATCCAAAAAAATTTATTCTTCTGCTAAAAATTAATGAAAGTTATCTAATAAGTTTTTTGAGAAAAATCAGAAAAAACAAAAAAAAATAAATAAAACGTTTAATTTATCATTAAAAATCTTTTCTAGTCAATTCGCCTCTTCCTGGGTTTCCTTACACTCAACAGCCCCCAGTATCAACATTCCAACAATCAACTCAACAAAACTTGTTAGAACAACAACAAGCAGCCACCCAACTACAACAAGCATTTGGTAGTGATTCGTGGAAAACACCAAATTATCCTCCAACAACCCAACAACAACAACAAATAATCCAACAACAAACATCTAGACAAGTCCCAACATTTGAGGGAACAAATGTTCAGAGTAATGTTGTTCCTTCTTTTAATCAGCAACAACAACATCAATATCAACAATTAATTCAAAACTTTCCACCTCAAGGACAACCTCCACCTTCACAACAATTTCGTATTCAACCGCCTTCAATTCGGCCTGCACAACCGGTAACTTGGTTTTAGTTGTTTATTCTTGCATGTTTTGGTGTTTTGTTGGTGTTTATTTATTGTTTTATTTTATGTTTGTTTTGATGTTTTTTCTTGTTTGGATGTTTTAATGTTTATTGATGTTTATTGTTTTATTTTATGTTTTGATGTTTTTCTTAATTATTTTGATGTTTTTTTGAGTTTGTTGTATTTGTTTGTTTTTCTATGTTTTTCTTAATTTCTTGAATGTTTTAATAGTTGTTTATGTTATTGTTTTATTGTGTTTGTTTTGATGTTTTTCTTAATTATTTGAATGTTTTAATAGTTGTTTATTGTTGAGTTTGTTGTGTTTGTTTTTAATGTTTTGTTGAGTTTGCTGTGTTTGTTCTATGTTTTTCTTAGTTGAATGTTTTAATAGTTGTTTATGTTTGTCTTTTTATTTAGTGTTTGTTTTGATGTTTTCTTACCGATGTTTTAATATTTTTTAGGTATATTGTTTTTGATGTTTTTATTTATGTTTGTATTTTATTTGTTTTCGCTTGTTTGTTTAGCTGAATTTTCAATTAACAAAAACATTTCGCATTTAATTCTTTATTTTTAAGGCTGCTGTCCAATCCATCAACTTATACAATACTCAACAACAAAACATTCTCGCAACTCGTTTTTCTGGTCCTCCAACACAAACAGGACAACCACAACAAACAACTTTTTATTCCAACCCACCTCCACAACAACGAACACAATTTACTCGAGGGGTAACCCAATCTTTTGGTCAACAACAATTTGGGAATAGTTATAGAGGTGGACACAAAACATTTGGAGGGCCTCGTTTTCCAGGGCAACAGAGGTCTTTTGACTCTGACAGAGGTGGTGGAGATAAACGTAGACGAAGCAGGTGAGGGAGAAAAAAAATTTTTTTTTGCTTAAAAAATATTTTTCCTTAAGGTCCCCAAATGAACAACGTAAACGTTTAAATATTGTCTCAAACAACGAAAATGATACTTCAACCACCAATAAAACTACAGCTTCTGGAGAATATGGGAAAGGACGTTTTTGTGTCCAATTGTCGAATGTTCCTTACAAAGCTGCTTTTAATGATATCAATGAGTAAATAAATATTTTTTAATTTCGACAAATTTTTTTTTGAAAATTTTAAATAAATTTCGAAATGTCAAATACTCAAAATGTCCATTTTTTGTATTTTTAGTAGAGGTCGGCGCGGGACGGGATCCCGACGTTATTTTCCGGGATCCCGAAATCCCGGATTTTTTTTGATTTTCGGGATCCGGGATTTTTTCGGGATTTATCCTACGATCCCGTCCCGGCATCGGTTAAGAAAAAAATCCTGACGCGGAATCCCGCAAGTGCGATTTTGCCGACCTCTATTTTTTGTCGGAGGGATTTTTTTAGAAATTTTTGCGGATTGGATCTGATCTCGAAAAATCCGTCAGACCTGGATCTTTATTCCGAAAAAATTTTCAGATGTCAAAATGTCAAATACCCAAAATGTCACATTTAAAAATTTTTTTAAAGGTATTTGTCGTTAGCAAAAGCTGGGTGTATCAAAGTTACTCGTGTTTACATTCCTGATAAAAATTACACTGATCGTTGGATTGTTGAGTTTGATAATGAAGAAAATTCGAGAGCTTTAATTAAATTTAGAGGAGAAATTTTTGCGAGAACAATAAGGTTAATTTGAAAAATTATTTTTATTTTTAACCATGTTTAGAGCTGAATTAATTCCAAATCGTCGTGCTGATGAACAATATGCGGTAGCTGAACCGGATGAAAGAGACCGAGGGCGTTTTCGAAGGGAGATTGTTAGAAGGGATAGAAGTAGGAGCCGAAGTCGAAATAGGGATAGAAGCCGAAGTCGTGATCGTCAACGTGATTCTAAGGATAGACCGAGTAGTCGGGAAGGTTTGGAATTTTTAATTCTAGGTTTGGGATTTAGAATAAATTTTTTTAATCGGAAAAGCTTATGGTTTTACTAGCTTCAAGGGGGTGGGCCTAATCAAGTCATATAGTTCTTATTTTAGTTCTGCTTTGCCTACATTAATAGGGCACTCCTCCTTTATTATGGTTCTATTACTCCTTTGTTATGGTTTCATTTATTCATAGACCTCTCACCTCCCGATTTCTTTTTGTTATGATGTGGCCAGGCCCATAGCCAGGAGAAATTTTCATGGGGAGGGCAGGTGGGTGGGCCTTCTTCTTGCGTACTTATTTTAAAAAGTACTTTCCTTTATGTTCCATATTCTAACACAAATTTCCATTTTTTAAAGATTCTGGACGAAGCCGTCGTCGTTCAATAAGTCCATCAACTCGAAAACGGAGTTCAAGTAGAGATAGATTCCCGCGTGAACGGACTCGAGATTTTAATAGAGATGAACATCGTAATAGAGATGGGGGTGATTTTGGAAATAATCAACCATATCAGCAACGAAGAAATTCCACTTTTGTGCGTAGAGGAGGAAGGACTTATGACAACAATAATAATAATGGAGGTTCTAATAATAATTCACATCAACCTGTGCCTTTATTTGGGGCTTTTGCATTTCCTAGTACTCAGGCAAATCAGGTTAATTAATTAACTAATTTTGTGTTTATTGGTTTTATAGACACTCTGAAAAAATTTTTAAGGATCCAAAACTTAACTAGTTTTTTAGGGCAAGCGAAAAAAGGGTATAATAGTGCAAATTAGGGTAGCTGGTCGGATGTAGCGAGGTTTGTCAGTGTAGAGCCTTCGGAATTCGGGTCGGGGTTTTTGCCAAAAAATCGTCGTTGATTTTTCCGTCTAGTGTATATTTAAAAATTGATTAAGAATTCGGAAATGGGACCCCTAACTCCAAGAAAAATCGAACCCAAGAGTCTTAGGTGTCTATGAAGTACTTTACCTTCTCACAGTCAATTTTTCCAATTAAAAATAAATAAAAAAAAATATTTTTAGGCTGTTTACAACCCAAAAACTGGGTCTACAGTTCAACTTGGTGCAAAAGATTTGAAGGTTTAATTAAGAAAGAATTCCCTAATTCAAAAAATAATTTATTAAGCCTTTACCTCTTCGTTCATTTGGCGGCCCACCTTCCCAATTTTTCCCAACACCAACTTCTTCAAGTCCAAATTTTCGTTTTCCTTCAATTCAAATATATCAAAATGGGCCTCCACCACAAATCAATAACAACAGAAATGGGGGGAATATTCAAATTCAACAACAACAGCCAACATCCCCACCAACACAAATCCAAATTTCCCCACATTTTCGTCCACAATTTGGACAAAATTTATTTTCTGGATTAGCTCCAAATTTTACAATAAATAATTCAAGAATGCCTGGACAAAATTTGATGAGTTTTACTGGTGGAGGAATAAATAATTTGAGACAGTCACAACAGCAATGTAAATAATTTATTGATTTAAAACTGAAAATATTTTTTAAAAAATTGTGTTAATTTATTTTAGTTAGTGAATTTTATTTTATTCTAGAATAGTTAGAAAACCTCATTTTTAAGTTCATTTTTAACTCCCCGTAATTTTCCTTTTACTTCTAATTAGGGTTGTTTTCGACCAGTTAATTTTGCTTTTGACGGCTTAAATGCTCTTATTTTCCCCTAATTGAATTTCTAACATTATTGAATATCCCTGCGATTTTATAAAAATCTGAATTATTGGCTAAATTAATTTTTGAGAGAAAATTTTTAAAAATTTCTAAAAACCTCAAAAAAAAATATTTTTGAAAATAAACCCAAAAATTAAATTGCTGAAAAGATGTTTGTTTTTCTGATTCGCTCATTCAAATTTTTAAAAGGAAAAGAAATTTTTAAGTAAAAATGATAATCCTTAAGACAGTCAATCCAAAAATTATAATTAAAAATTTTATCAAAAAAAAAATTCCAAAGAAAATTTTTTTCTAGCCCCTCCAAAATCTTCCTCACCTACACACAGTTATTCAATGGATACTTGTGGATCTGCTTTAATTATTCAAGAAGATAATTGTTCTGTTGATGGAAAGGGAAATGAAAGTAGTGGAGAAGTAAATAATTAATTTTTTCTTTAAATTAAGGGAGAAAATATTTCAATTGTTAGAAAATGTAGTTTTGGTTAAGTTGGTTGTGTTTTAGACTTTGAGGGGAAAAAGCTGGCAGTGATGATATTATAGCCAAATCTTAGCTACTTTGGGCTGCCGTTGCCCGAATAGGGCAGAACCCACGGTGGGCAAAGTAGTTTTGTGGGGACCAAAGGCCGAGACTGAGCCAGCTGGAAATAAAAAAATTTTTTTTTAATTTAATACAATTGAACCACCCTTGGAAATTGGATTCTTCGGTTCTTGAAAACTCTTGGGATTTCTGAACCAAACCTCTGCTCTTCGGTTTGATACCGAACCAAAGAACACTACTTTCCTTATAATCAGGAGTACCTTAAATTTGAGATATCTCCTGACCTTGAGATATCTAAAAGTAGGCTGTTAGATACTCTCGCGGTATTTACGAAAGTACCAAATCTGTATTTTTTCTACTCCCAATATTGGTACCAGAAAAATCCTTTTGTCTAACATAGTTCGATTAAAAAAATATTTTTTCATTGCAAAAGATTTTCTTTCAGATGTCTTCCTCAATAAAAAATGCACATGACATTCCATCAATGTCTTCTTCACTTCCTTATGCTTTAACCTCAATTCCAGATCAACCTCCAATTGATTTGCTTGAACCTAATAATGATGGGGAAGAAAGCAATGAATAAATTAAAAATAAATTATTTTTCTTTTAAAAGCATTTAATTAAAGTTTTAGAGAAAATGTATTGGTAGTTTAGTGGTTTAGTTGCTTGTTCCGACTACTGAAGTAGTGAAGGTTCGAATCCAACATTTTCTAAATTATTTTCTGTGGATGATTAAAACTAGATAGGGACATCTGAAGAAAAAAGAGAAGGATCTTAAATTGATGAAATTAATCAAAAATTAAACAGTTATCCCTGTATGACACAGAAAATAATTTTTGAGAAAAAAATATTTTTTTTTTCCCTTTCGATTTATTTTTTAAAAATTGTTTTTTCTTTAAAGACAAAATTTTATTTTATTTATTTTTTTCATTAATTTTGTAAAGGATTCCCAAAAAAAATTTTTTTTTTGATTTTAGATTTGGTGATCTTATTAAATTTCTTTCCTCCCTCAAAAAATTGTTAAAATGTTTGACTTTAAAAAATTATATATTTTTTTTCATTTTTATTTTTTTAGTAAAAGAAATGTTGTGTTTTTATTTTGTTGTTATTTTATTATTTAAATTCATTTGATATTTTTTAAATTTTATTAAAATTTTTAATTTACAGATTTTTAAAATTTTAGATATTTAGTAAGAATAATTTAAAAAGGTGAGCAATATGTCTTTGAATAGAAATCAGAATTTAATCAGAATATTTTAAAAACTTAATTTAAAACCAGGGGCCTATTTCAATTGTCCACAGATTCTGCATTCTGTGCACAGAACACAGATTCTGTGGAAATTCTGTTTCAATTAAATTCTGTGTGCACAGAATCTGTGGTGCCCGCAGATTCTGCGGAAACATCCAATGATTCTGTGGAAACATTCCGCAGATTCTGTGGATGAAAATTTCTGTGGAAAATATAAAAATCTGTGGATTTTTTCCACTGATCCACAGAATTTGTATTTCAATTATTTTTCTGTGGTTCTGTGTATTTTTTCTTCTAAATTCAAATTTTTTATTTCCGCGTTTTTGAAAATAACAGTTTTATTGAAACGAAAAATGGTTTGGACAGTTCGGTACTACCGCAGTATTAATGGTACCTGATTTTTTGAAGTAAAACTTTAAAAATTCTTAAATTAAACTGAAAAATATTGTAAAGATTTAAAAATTTTCCCTCCAAATCACATAACATCCCTTTAAATCTCTTTGATATCACTTTAAAACCGCTGATATACCGCTTAATTTTCTTGTTCATCCAATATCCTTAAATCTCCAATTAAATTAATGTCCTAAAGCAGGGTTCGGATCGGAAAAATCAGGAGATGTCGATCCGACATGTGGCTTTTTCAAACTACGATAGAAGTTGTTGCAAGGGAGGGAAATGTTTGGGGATTGTTTAGTCAGAAATTGAGGTTCCTGGAAATCGAAAATGCCTGGAATCCAAAATTATAGTCAAATCGGAACTTTAAAATCGTAGAGGAGTGATTAAGTGGGATATCCATTGATTTTGAGGTTTAATATATTGGAGTGATTAAGGAGGAAATCTATCATTAAATAGGAGGAGAGATTATGACGGATATCAATGAGAGATCATGGGAGATATCCCAGTATACGCTATACAGATATATTCTATAGATCCTGGTAAACATCCCCTCATTAGAGATATCCATGATGATTAGAACATCATAGCTCTAAATTTCAGAATCTCTCACGTTTTTTATTTTTTTATTGCTTGAATATAACAAAAACTGCGTAAAAAAGATGTACCTTTTTCAAAATTAATTTTAAGCAATAATTTTAGGTAATAAAATTATAATTTTTATATCAAAAAATAGAGAATGATTCAAACTTTAATAATCTTTAAAAATTTTGAAATTTGGTTAAGCCTAGGCCTAGAAAAAAATTGTTAAAGTTTTTCCACAGAAAGTTCGCAGAAAAAATTTTAGGGTGGATTTTTTAAAGAATTCTGTGTATTTTCCGCAGACCACAGAAATAATTGAAACAGAAATGCACAGAATCGACTAAAAAAGCCACAGATCTGTGGATTTTTTTCTGTGCACAGAAAAATAATTGAAATAGAATTCTGTGGTTTTTGCATGTTTTTGGATGTTTTGCAGAATCTGTGGATGTTTCCACAGATTCTGTGCATGTTTCCACAGAATCTGCGGACTTCTTTTTCCGCAGAATCTGTGGAATAATTGAAACAGAATTTCTGTGGTTCTGTGGTCTGTGCACAGAACGCAGACCGCAGAATCTGTGGACAATTGAAATAGGGCCCAGAATAATTTTTTAAAATCATAATTTTTTTAAAAATCAGAATTTTTCTAAATCAGAACATTTTTTCAAATCAGAATTATTTTAATGTAGGAATAGATATTCCAATTAATTAAAGTTCTGATTTTAAATCAGAATAATTTTTTAATAAGAATTATTTAAAATCAGAATTTTTAAAAATCAGAATTTTTCTAAATCAGAACATTTTTTCAAATCAGAATTATATTCTTCAAAACCAGAATATTTTCAAAAAATCAGAATTTTAATTCAGAATATTTCAGATTTTTTTAAGAAATCAGAATAATTTTTTAAAAACCAGAATTATTTTAAAAATCAGAATTAATTCAACCTCCTCTTTTCAGTAAATGACTACAACTACCCAACAACCTTCCTCAGATTATTTTAATTCAGAATTTGAACATTTTATTCAAACACAAATTTCTGGTTTAATTTTAACAGAAAGGGAAAACAATTCCGAATTAAATAAAGAACAAGAATTAATTATTTCTATTGATTTTTGTAAAAAATTTTTAATTGAAAATTCTTCAAAAAAGGAAACAGAAAGTGATGAAATGGAAAAGAGACGTTCTCAAGTTTTGGCCAAACTTGTAGAATTAAAATTGGAGTTGGAAACACATCGAGTAAAAAATATTTATTTTTTTAATTTTCCGAGATTGAAAAATAAAAAAAATATTTTTTGCCTCAGGGAATTTTTTAAAATTTAATTAAAAATTTTTTCACAATAAAAATTATTTTCAAAGGAATCCTTAATAATTGGAGATGATACAACAAATATTAAAAGAATTAAATACCATGAATTTGTAATGCAATCGGTAAGGGGAACTAATGTTTATTGTGAAGTGTGTTTAAGTATTATTTGGAGGCTGATTCAGTATTGGAGAAAATGTAAAGGTGGGTAGGGAATTTATTAAAAGGAGAGAATTCATAAAATTTTCCGGAAGAGTGAATATAACTCTAACCGGAATATAGAAAATATAAAACTTTCCGGAAATATATTAAACTTTCCTTCCGGGTTGTAAAGAAGAAAATTTATTAAAACTTTCCGGAAGAGTGTATAAACCTTTCGGAAATATAAATATAACATTAATTTTCCGGAAATATATTAAGCTTTCCCTCAGGAATATAAAAGTAGTATTAAACTTTCCTGAACAGAAATATGAAAAATAATATACATACAACTTTCCGGAACAGAAATATAAATTTTCCGGATGTAAAGAATAATATTAAACCTTCCGGAAAAGTGAATATAACTCTATCCGGAATTTATAGAATAATATAAAATACCTTCCGGAAATATACTGAACGTTCCGTCAGGAATATATAAAAATATTAAACTTTATATATAAAAATATAAACCTTCCGGAATATATATTTCTGGGGCATACAACTTTCCGGAAAATTAATATAAACTATTAAATTTCCAACAAGTTTAATTTTAATAAATAAAATAATTTTAATAAACTATACCTTTTTTCAAGTTTGTGGCTTTCGCGTTCACGATAAATGCATTGATCAAGTCTCACGTCATTGTGTTAGCACACAAATATACAAAACTGATTTTTCTCTTTCCCTCCAAATCTGTCCAGAAAATTCTCTTAGAAATCAAAATTTTCGTTGTGCAGAATGTTTGGCTAATATATCTTTTGGTTAGTGAAATTAAGGGAATTTTTTGATTTTAATTTTTAGATGAAGAATCAGACAAAATACCTCGACTATGTGATTATACTGGGTTATTTTATTGTAGCCGTTGTCATTGGAATGGTAAATAAATGAAAAATTTGTTGATTAATATAAACTTTGCCGGAACATAAATATAGAACCTTCAAGCTTATAAACTTTCCGGAATATAACGAATTGTTTTCCGGAACAGAGAGTATAAGAACTTCCGGAATATAAAAACTAAGATTTGGGAAATATAAAAACTTCCGGAGCAAGAATATAAACTTTTCCGGAAAAGTAATTATATAAACTTTCCTTAATTTTAAAAATACTGATAAACTTTCCGGAAGAAGAACCCTCCAGTAAAAATAAAATTACGAGAAATATAACCCTTTCCGGAAAAGTGAATATACAACTGAATTTCCAATGCATTTTAATTTTCAATTTTTTAAAATTTCTTTCACAACAAATAAAAAACTGAAAAAAATATTCAAAATTATTTTAAAATTAATTTGTAGATAGTATGGTCATCCCAGCCAGATTAGTACGGAATTGGGACGCTAACGTTTGTTTTTCCCAAAAATTTTTCTCAAAAAAATTTTCTTTTAGAAACGCCCAGTCTGTCGGGCAACAAAACAATTACTTGTAGCAATAATGAATAAACCTTTAATTGATTTGCCTAAAGAAAATCCTTTACTTTTTAAATTTGTTAATAATTTAAATAGAATTGGAAGGCTTAGAAATGATATAATGCTGATGAAATGTTATTTTGTCAGTTGTAAGGTATGCTCAAGTTTATTTAATTAATTATAAAGGAAAAATAAAATGAAATGATAGGTGCCCGGTTAGCTCAGTCGGTAGAGCACCAGACTCTTAATCTGGTTGTCGCGGGTTCGAGCCCCGCATCGGGCTGATATTTTTTAAATTATTTTGGAAATATTTTAAAATTATTTTGATTAATTTTAGACAATTATTTTTTTAATTTTTATTTTTTGGAATTTTTAATTTTTATTCTTTATTTTTTTAATTTTTTTTGGGAAGAAAATAATTTTCTAGCACAATAAATAATTAAAATAAAATAATAAATAATCAACTTTCCGGAATAATGAATGTAAAACTTTCCGGAAAATAAATATAAAAACGGATGAGAAATAAACCTTCCGGAAAATGAGAATACATTCATTTTAATTTAATAGGAGTTTCCGGAAAGTTTTTGTAAAAACCCTTCCGGAAAATAAATACAAGAATGGTTGAATGAAACTTTCCGGATCACGAATATACATTAACTTTAATATAATAAAACTTTCCGGAAATTAAATATAAAAGACTTTCCGGAAAAGTTCGAATATATTAACACAACTTTTTTTTATAGATAGCCAAAAAACTTCGAATTCTCCAACATTTAAACCGCTATCAATACTTTGTCGAGACAGACATTAAATACTCACTTGAGGACCTTATAAAAATAGCTACAGGGAGTGGTGGTTTGCTTAAGGATATAGAGTCTATAGTTGAGATATTTAACCGTCATATCACTCAAGAATGTGAAATTTGTCGAGGAAATGCATTTTTCTGTGAATTGTGTTCGGATGAAGAGGTGGGGGATTTAAGGGGAATTTTGACTATTTTTTGAAAAATTTTTTTTCTAGAGAATATACCCTTTTAGTGATAATGTTGCTATTTGTAAAGGTTGTTTAGCTGTTTATCACAGGTAGAAAAATATTTTCTAGATTTTTAATTAATATTTTTAGGCATTGTTTTGATCATGCAAGCAAACGGTGTACTCGGTGTGCTAGAAGAAGGGCTAGAAGAAAGGCGATAATGATGAAAACTGAAGAGGAGGGGGAATAAAAATGTAAATAAATAAAAATATTTTTCAAAATTATTTTTCAAAATTATTTTAAAAAAGCAATTTTAATTTTATTAAAATAATACGGCATCAATTAATTAATTATTGGCGATTAAATAGGAATTTTCTTTGGCATTACAATGTTTGAATAATTATAGGGATGTGATTTTATATTCCCTTGTATATATTGACTAACGTTTTCCGGAAAGTTCTCATATTATTAATTTAATATAGAAATATTAAAACCTTCCGGAAAAACTTAAATAAACTTTCCGGAAATTAAATATAACCGGAAACTAAATAGGTATAGGCGATTAAATAGGAATATTTCCGGAAAATAATTCCGGAAAATAAATATAAGAAACTTTCCGGAAAAATACAATAAAATACAAGAAACCTGTCAAGTTTAAATTTTCTTTCCGGAAATTTAAATAACAGTTTCCGGAAACTATTATAGAATAATTTCCGGAATGAATAATATCAAGTTTCCGGAAAATATAAAATCACATCCTTATTAAACATAAAAAAGGTTTTACTGGCTAAATATAATTGGACAAGGCTAGAATCATTAGAAATTAAGTACAATTAGAAAAGAGATTATGGCTTAAAAGAGGAATTAATTTTAAATTAAAATTTAATGTCCTGAAATTTCTTCCCAATTCCTTTGAAAAAATCAGAAACGTCTTCACTAAAGAATTTTTGAATGTCATCAATAAATTTGTCAAATCCGTGTTTTTTGCTTATTTCACTAACTTTTGATTTTATCATTTCCCACAAACGAAGAAGATATTGATGGAATTCTTCAGCACGTCGGTTGGCCATACACTCAAAATCGCAATCCTGTAAAAATAAAAAATAATAAAATCTTTACGGAAATATATTCCCGGAAAGTAGCTTTACGAAAATAATAAAACTTTCCGGCAAATAATGAATTCTCATAGTTGGTTAATATAAAACCTTTCTCCGGAAATATGTATAAAAATTAATTTAATCAATAATTATTTGGCTTTCTATAAAAGGTTGTAGTAATATATTCATGTTTTCCGGAAAGTTTTACTAAATTAAAATTAGAGTATATTCGTTCTCCGGAAAGTTTGTTTTTTTATTCTTTTTTAAATTTATTTTCTGGAAGTTTTTATTTTGATCCGGAAAGTTGACTATTTATTATTTCATTTTTCCCCAGCAAAATTAAACAAATTAAATTTTAAAAAAATAAAATTAAAAAAAAAATAAAAATTTGAAAATAATTGTCTAAAATTAATCCAAATAATCTTAAAATAATTCCAAAATAATTTAAAAAATATAAGCCCGATGCGGGGCTCGAACCCGCGACAACCAGATTAAGAGTCTGGTGCTCTACCGACTGAGCTAACCGGGCTCACATTTGGTCTCTCAAATAAAACATTCTTATAGTCAAAGGAAAAGTTGGGAAATGCTCAATTTAACTAAACAAATGTTTCTACCTCTGTGGGTTTTCCTGAAGTCGGCAATTTCTTTTTCTGTTCTTCCAACTCTTCCTCTGTTTTGCCACAATCACTCAAAATTGTTAACTTTTTGTAATTCTCCAATGAAGAACAATCAAAATTTCTATTTCCTTCAAGATCCACGGCCTAAAAATTTTTTTAAATTAAAATATTTTTCCCTAAATTACCTTCAAATCAGGAAATTTACCGAGTAATTCACTTTCGGTAGGTAAATTTTTAATTTTATTATTAGTTAGACCAATAACGTCAAATCCTCTTAATTTTGATTTTGGTACTTCCAAGCTTTCTAAATTAAGTGAGTGGCAGTGGACGGCCTGAAAATTTATATTTTTTAATAAATTAAAATAAAGAATGTAATAACTTTCAAAAAGGCAAATATAAACTTTTTACAATTTGTAATTCTTAAGAAAATATTTTTACAATTTGCAACTTTATAATGAACTTATTACAATTTGTAAAAAAGTTGCTAAATTTATTTTACCTTCCTGAAATTAATATAACATTTCCGGAAAAATAATAACTTTCCGGAAAGTTATATTTACAATTTGTAATCTTTTAAGAAAAGGTTTTTACAATTTGTAAACTTAAACTTTTTACAATTTGTAAAAAAGTTGTTATTATAATACCTTACTGAAATATAAACTTTCCGGAAAAATAAAAACTTTCCGGAAAGTTATACTATGTACAACTTCAATTCTTCCAACAAATTTTACTCTTATTTTTATCCAAATTTAAAATAAAAATTCATTTTCCAACTAATAATTCTTAATTTATTTACTTACAGATTCGTCAGTATTACACATACATCCATTTAAACAATCAAATATATAGGCTTTAAAATTTAAAAAATTTTAAGATTAAAATATTTAATAGTTTACCATTAATTGGGCAATTTTGTATAATACACAAAAATGCCAAAGTGAAGAATAAATTGATAAAATAATTATTAAACATTTTTATATCTTTCTGAAAAAGAATTTTATATTTTTTATTATAAATTATCAAAAATTTAAGAAATAAAAAAAAATTATAAACTTTCCGGAAAATCTAACTGCTGAAAAAAAATTTCTTTTCCAGAAGGAATATATTCTATTAAAACTTTCCGGAAAGTTTCCTATTTACATTTTTAATTATATAAATAAACTTTCCGGAAACGGGTATAAAGCTCATAAATTTCCGGAAAAGTAAATAGTATATACTAAAATAATTTCCGGAATATTAATACACTATAAAACCTACGCCTATATTATAAAATAAAAAAAAACTAAAAATAATAAAAATAACGATTTTAATTAAAAATAAGTAGAAAGGTAGCACTTGTCAACAAATTTCAAAACTCTCTCATTTAATTTTTACTTTTATTCATTTATGTTTAGCAAACGGAATTGATAAATATTTAAAAAAAAAGTAAGTGGAATGACTCATTGATTGTAAAAATTTTAGAAAAAAATAAAATTGTCCATAAAAAATGCCACATTTCCATTTTAATACTATAAAAAGGAAACTCTCAAATGAGAGAAAAATGATGAAGGAAAAAAAATATTTTTGGTTATAGAAATATGTAGAAGCAAAAAAATAAAATTTTATTAAATTTGTAGGGAAAATGAATTTTTTTCGAAATTAAATTGAAAAAAAAATTTTTAAATAAAAATAAAAATTCTAGTTAAATTATATTTTGACTAAAAATATTTTTTGATTTTTATAAAATTAAAAAATCAATAAAAAAAATAAATAAATATATTTTGGATACTAAAAATTGAAAAAGAAAATTAGAAAAAGAAAAAGTTTCTAGAGCGGAACATTAAAAGAAAAATAGGTATAAAATAATTAAAAAATAAAACTTGGTTAAAAAACAAGTTTTATATTTTATAAAATAAACTTTTTCGTTCTCTAGCGAAAAAATTGAAAATTAAAAAAATTTTTTTAAAAATTAAAAATAAATAAAAATAAAAGTAAAGGGGAATGGCACATTTTAACTGCACATATCAACCCTATTAAATAAAAATAAATTCAAAAAAAATTTTTAAATTAAATTTTTTATTCAAAAAGTCTGGATAATCTATCTTTAGCTTGTGATTTTAATGATTTTTTCTTTTGTTCACTTTCACTAGTATTTGTACTTGCTAAAGAAGTACTTTCTTCAGAGCCGCTTAAAGGTGCCAAAATATGTATTTGTGTGCCTTTATTTCGATAAAATGTTGTTAAACATTCACCAAAACGTTTTTCATTTATTGAAAGTTGCTTGGAAGACTTTAAAAAAATTAAAAAAAAATTTTTTTGAAAAAAATTAGAGGAAATTACATTCTCAGAAGCAATGTACTTGTATAGAGAAATAGAAGGATAAGGCAAATGTCCAAGCATTTTTGGAACTGAAAAATGAAAAAAAATAAACTTTTTACAAATTGTAAAAATATTAAAACTTTTTTACACATTGAAAAAACACATTTTACTAACGAGACTAATTTTTACAATTTACTAAAACTTTTTACAAATTGTAAAAGTTTACTGTTTAAAAAAGTTTTACTTTTACAAATTGTAGAATCAAATTTATAATTTTTACAAATTGTAAAAAAATTTTACACGATTTTACAATTAAAACTTTTTGCAATTTGTAAAAATAATTAAACTTTTTGAAAATTGAAAAAAAAAACATTTTAGTAACTACAAGACTAATTTTATCAAATTACTAAAACTTTTTACAATTTGAAAGAAGTTTTATGTTTAAGTTTTACTTTTACAAATTGTAAAAATAATTAAACTTTTTACAAATTGTAAAAAGCACAACTTTATATGCAATTTGTAAAAAGTTTAATATTTAAAAAGTTTTACTTTTACAAATTGTAGAATTAAATTTAGAATTTTTACAATTTGTAAAAATTTTTCTTTCCAATTTTACAATAAAAACTTTTTACAATTACCAATAGAGAAAATAGCCTGTCCAACACCACTATCCTTAACTTTAGCTAATTTGTGTTTTTGTTGGCAATACCATCCATTATTATTATTTATATTTTCATTTTCTATACTAACAATAACAGTTTCAGCTTCAATTAATTTAGCTAGCGATCTTAATGACACAACAAAATCACAAGGTTGATCAACTCGACATAATAAAGATTGGGAATGTTCAGAATAAAAACGGGCACAAATTTCAAAGTCAACCTAAAATTTTTTTAAAAATAAAAAAATTAATTTTCAATTTTATCACCTTCGGAATAGTAAAATCCAATCGTTTTTCAATACAATATTCCTCAGATTCTATCAATTCTTTATTAATTTCATCATTTTTATTTTCCTTTTGATCAGAACAGACGGTGTAAATAAATTTTAAAAAATGCGGAACTGGAAAGTTTCTACCAGCAGGAGATTCTGGTAAACGCCAAATAAAACGAAAAGAAGAATTTGGAATTATTGGCTGAAAGAAAAAAATTTTTTTTGAAGAAAATAAAAATTTTTTTTAACGATTAAAGGATTTGGATTGAGTAATTTAGCTTCAACAGGCTCCAAGGCAATATTCTGTTCTTGGTGTAATGTAATTGAAGTTGGAAGAATTGTAATTTGATTTAAGGGAGATTTTACAAATCGCCTTTCCACATCAAGAATAAAAATTGCATTTCCTGCTAATAAAGATGTAGTGCAATATAAACCAAATAGAGGTGAAAACTTGAGTTGTAGAAACTTTGTTACAATTGTTTCTGAAGCATTTTTCCATTCAAGTTTTAACTTAAAAAAGAATAAAGTTTTACAAATCGTAAAATGTTGAAAAGTTATATTTTGAAAATTGTAAAAAGTTTTAAATTGAATATTACAAATTGTAAAAAGTTATAAACTAAATTTTACAATTAAATATTACAAATTGTAAAAAGTGTTAAATAAAATTTTACAAATTGTAAAAGGTTATAAATTAAGTCTTACAAATTGAAAAGTTTTAAATTAAATTATACAAATTGTAAAAAGTTTCTAAACTAAATTCTAAAAATTGTAAAAGCTTTAAATAAGGTTTTACAAATTGTAAAAAGTTATAAATTCTGTTTTACAAATTGTAAAAAGTTTTAAATTAAATTTTACAAGTTGTAAGAAGGTTATAAATTCTGTTTTACAAATTGTAAAAAGTTTTAATTTAATTTTACAAATTGTAAAAAATTATAAAATAAAGTTTTACAAGTTGTAAGAAGGTTATAAATTCTGTTTTACAAATTGTAAAAAGTTTTAAATTAAATTTTACAAATTGTAAAAAATTATAAAATAAAGTTTTACAAATTGTAAAAATTTTAAATAAAGTTTCATAAATTGTAAAAATTTATTTTAAATTTACAAAAATAAACACACCTCACAATTTATGGATTGTAATTCCTC